AAAACAAGCAGCAAGGTTCGAATTTTTGTTTTCAAGCGGAGGGTCAATTAGGGAGAATTTACTGTAATAAAGATTGATTCTTAATTCACTCTTTATTGTGAACTTTCCCCGTGTTGAGGCATGTTCCTACAAAAAATTCTTTATTCTACTTACTAGCTTCTATTATACTTTTTAACCTTTTCGTTCAAAATTTGTCGTATTTTGACAGCTACAATAGGTAGCTCAAGTCACCTAGCGACGGAAATATGGTAGCCAGAATAAACTATTGTAGCTGCCTAGTGGCCAAAATGTGAGCGTTACGAAAGTGTACAGTATATACAGTATCGCCACAGCAGGTTCATTAACGCGTACGAAAATTATTTTCTCGATTACTACGGATTTTTCAGCTAAAAATCAACCGAAGGTCATTGTGTAGTAGATAGTTGAATATTTTTCTCCGTCAGCTATAATGCTATAACTTCGAAAGTACATAGTGCTATTTAACCCGAGAAAGATAATCTACGTCGCAGAGGCGCCTGCGAAGACTGTTGATTTTTGTTAATTTTTCATAGAGGTCTAGTGATTTAAGTTTAAAATTACTTAAAATATAAAAAAATATAATATAAATGCATTTTATTTTTACAATAATGCCAAACCTTTAAAATGACTAGATTAACTTAAATAAATATCCATTGTTAGTATAAAATTGACGCCTTAGAAAAGCATGCGCCTCTGAAGCGTATGGTTATCTTTTACGTACGTTGTCATATGGTTATCTTTCTAGGGTTAAGAAAGTTAAGGTGACTTGCATTTTTTATGGTATACAAAGATTTTTTACAATTTTTGTTATTGCAATTTATTTCTCTCAAAGAACACATTAACTTTTATTCCAAACATTGTTTTGTCAAATTAACGTAAATGCCTCAAAAATCGATACGACCGTTCCGTTGAACAGTCTGTATTTCATTTAGTTATTTTTCGTTTACACTACGGTGACGTCTATTAAGCCGATCCGAGCTCATTCCACGGCAAAATCTTAACATTATTCAATTCTTCTACAACTCAATTCTATGTCTCACTGTAATGTCAAGATAAATCCGTAAGAGAAATGTGCTACTTTTCGCAGACAATTATGAAATGTATCATTTTTAATCCTTAACTAGTATATTGGAGTTATGAATTATTTTTTTATATTTTTATAATTTTATATATACTACATAGAAATAAAATACAATGAAAGGTTTACATAATATTAAATTAATGCATCTTTCTGCATTTTTTACTTGGACTATATCATGATCCTAATATAGCATAACCAGACGGTTTCGTGAAAATTGTACCATTTAAGAGTTAATGTTAATAGATAATAACTAGATTGCACATTTTTATGCAAAATTAAAATTGCCTACGTTAATTGAAACTGCATAGACACTTTCAACGAGTTGGCAGTGGTGCAATAGTATTTTTGAATTGTTTGAATAATTTTGCTGTATTGCGTTTAATCTATCAATTTTTGTTATAAATGCATACGATCTGCAATGTATTAGGTTGTAACATAAATTCGTCCTGTTTTTGTCACTCCAAGATCACGAACATGCTTTGAAACCGCCCTGGTGGATGTTTTTAATATACGTGCAGTATCACGTATTGTTATGTGATGATTATTGTTAACGAAGGCCTTAATTCGTGTAGAATCTGTTGTCATAGGGCGTCCAGAACTATTTTCTATACGTTGATTCGTCAATTGCATCGTCTTCATACACATCGAATTTTTATACATGTTTTTTAACGTATTTTTACCTTTACTTTTATAGACAGTGGTAAAGATCACCGATGTGAACAGACTTGCGCAGAAGTAATCACTGAAACCTAAACAAACAAAACAACAAAGTAAAACACTTGACGGTGTGAAATTGTCAATGAATCGGCAATGTATTGTTACGCAATTAAGTAACAAAGCGGGACGATCTTATGTTACACCAGTAATAAGAAAGTAATTAATAATAAATAATATAAAATAAGTAAGTAATAATAAATAATATAAAATAAGTAAGTAATAATAAATAATATAAAATAAGTAAGTAATAATAAATAATATGCTATTAAGACACACGCGCACATCGCGTCAGTACAACAGACTATTAATATTACGTATGACGTTTGAAGGAAATTATGTACATATGATTATACGGCAATAGTGTGATTTTACTGGAAGGACGTAACTCCACCCTTCGAAAGAAACACCGCCTTCGACATGCGCCCTCGAGAAGATAGCTCCTTCCTTTCTCACCTGCAATCGTGCTTTTCATCCGTTTGCGGTAGTATCTAGCAAGCCAGAGCTACCCTTCCTTGCACCTCCACCTGTTCGCGAAGTGCGCGATATTTTATAGTTGGTGAAGTTAGTGATACGCTTTTGCATAGAGGTTTTTTAAGAAACATTAGACAAATTTGTAATGTCCGGTAAGCTTCCAAGCTGAATATACACGGTATTGTTATCTTACTATTTACAATCACAATTGTTTCCAGCATTGTACACGGTGAATCATCTAAGATCTTCACATAAAATATTCCCGTTGTTTTTAACGTAACGAACTGTTGTTTCGAAATACTGTTTCAAGTAGCATGTTACTTTATTTCATAATTTCTGCCATGCCTATGATCATTTTTGAAATAACATTTGAAATTGTGTTTTAAAATTCAATATTTTATTTTATAACTGCATGAAATAATTATTTGAGATGATTGTGAAATTGTTCTCTAAGAAACATATTTTGGAAGAGGGACACCCACCTTACATTTTCTTACCGATTATTTCCTTATTATTATACATCCTTATTATTTCCTTCCCTATAGCACCGATTATTTTCTTTCGCGACAATATTTCATGAATCCACAAATAATGAACTAATTAATTATTTTAAATTGCTACATTTTCATTTTCAAATAACGGCTCGATAAGAATTATTTCAAATAATTTTTTGTTAGTTTCATTTCGAATAAAATTCGCCAGACACTGATTTAACTCAGAAAGGCAGTTTTTGTGATAGAATAACTATAAACATTTTTGGTTATATTAATTCATTTATTTCGTGTAACATTAAAAACAACAAAGATATTTTAGGCGGAGATCTTAGGCGACTCAGCTTGTATAGAGGGTGATTCACTACATGTTACCATTTCGATTTACGTGACTCTTAACCCTCAACGATTTTTATTCCACGCGTAGTATTTATGTTCATAATTTCGACACTATTACTAATTTATAAATAAATAAAGTATATAAGCGAATATCATAGTATTAATATTATTTTATTAAACTAATAATAATAAATATTATATTATTATAATGTTATAATGTTAATAAATATTATATTATTAAATATTTCATAAATATCATAAACAACAAATTTTTCCTCTGGAAGTATACTCGCAAATGCTTCCTTCGAGAGATATTTACTTCTAAAGTTATCGAGAGTTAGTAACTAATAACTAAAATATCCGTGTTTCCAAGATAGACAGTTACTGCTGTGTTGCTGTTTGCGCCGTAAACAAAGCACCTATCATTCATTCTGATTAATTGTTGAGAACATTGAAATATTAAAACTGAGAATAGTGCAAGCGTGTAACGAAATAGTAGGTGTACAGTGTCAGCCAACCATTTCATCTGTTATTCATAGATGTAATGTTTATCTATAACATTTGAAATAATTACAAATTATTTTTACAATTATTTTTGCAATAAATACAACAATTTCCATTTGTAATTTACATGATAAATCTGAATTATATTTCGATGGCATACATTAGTAAGTCTATAGTAGTAAATATCTCTTGAAGAAACATTTGTGAGTATACTTCCAGAGGAAAAATTTGTTTGTTTTAGAGTCCTAAATTTATACCTAAAGTTTGGCGAACCTGGGAACACCCTGTATACAATATACAGTGGGTATAGAAAGAATTCGTACACTTTTAAAATGGAATAACTTTCTTATAATTGGGCCAAATTTTTTTGGAATCTTAGAGGGATTAGTTTATCCACTAGTTTATTAGTAGCTAAAAGATTGTTTGGAAAAACTGCCATTGATTGGCATAGTAAAGGAATTAAAAATGCTGTTTTTTCAACTTTTTTATGTGGAGTCATAACAAAAATTTAAAAAATGCATTTTGTAGATCTTGATCATTTATATGCATGCTGAAAATTTCACCGAAATCGATTGACGCATAGCCAAGCTATAGCCACTGAAAGATGTAGAAATTACTTGTTTTTTGGTTGAAATTCGTGAAAAAGTGCAATTTTTACGATCTTTAATTATTTACAGCGCCTGTCAAGGTAAACCGATTTCGATGAAATGTTCAGTATGCATGTAAGTTCTCGAGATCTACAAAATGTATGTTTTAAATTTTCGTTACGGGCTCACATAAAAAGTCGAAAATACAGCATCTTTTAATTCTTTTACCATGGAAAACAATTGCAATTTTTCCAAACAGTTTCCCTCTAAGATCCCAACAAAAATTTAGATCGTTTGACCAAATTATAAAAACGTTATTCTGTTTTCGCGTTTGAAGGCTGATGAGCTACTCGCACTTTTCTCCTCGTGGACAATACTTAGCAAAAAATTTTTTTTTTAGGATCGTGCCATGGTAATGTGCTCCTCGTACTAATCACAATCGATTTATATCAATCATCCTTACCAATCTATCATCATCGAGTACTACATATATACTAAATATTATTTCATATTTTATTGTGTTTCTTTTCGAAGATATATCAGTCTCTTATTTTGTTTAAAACAATTACAGTAAATTCTCTCTAATTGACCCTCAGTTTGTACACAAAAATGGACAATTTGAGAAGAGAAGATACGATTATTCGAGCCTTGCGGCTCGTTTTCATAATTACCCATCGTCAACAACTATAAAAACGAGGCGCAAGGCCAAATTATCCATCTTTCTCTCCAAGCTGTGGGTCTATTAGGGAAAATTTACTGTATTACCTTATGCTTATTGGATTTAATGTTTAGTATGGAGCGTTGTTCAGGATATGCCTTTAGATCTAAGCTGCCGTAGTTCTGACAAGGATCGAAACTTGATAAATCCGTTGAAGTTTCAAAGGTGTTTACCATGTCAGACGTGTGGTAAAAACTTCGATAGGCCATCTTTGCTGAAAAGACATTTACGAACTCACACAGGTCAGTCTTCTTATGTCTATTTGTTATTAAATAATTTACCGTTTCTGTTCATGTATTAAATAGCTGCAATTAGAGAAAGTGATGTAAACAAATTTAACACTTGAATATTCTTGCCAATTTCGGAGATATGGAAAAGATTATTAATCAAAGTTCTTTAGTATAAAGATGGATATACTAACATAGTAGTATACAAATTTTGTCGTGAGTGGAGGAATTGAGCGATTTTCATGTTATGTCTAATTTCCTAAAAGAAAGCATAATGCAGCTCAAAATTATCTGTAAAGAAGTAGCAATTTATGTATGTTGGAAAATGATTAGTTTTGACATTATTTTAACTTCGATCATGCGAAACTCTCTGTCTTTTGTTACCCATATCTATGTGTTTATCGATTGATAACAATAGCTCTCAAAACGAATACAAATATTGTAGCAAGGTCAATAAAAATCACGGAAAAAACTTACAATACATTAAAAACATATTTTATTTAGGTGTTTGGTGCAATGCGTTTACATACCATCGGCACTAATGCAATTATCTATACTAGAAAAAATATCTCTTATTTGCTCTCAATCAGAGTTGTGTTATTATTTAAATTGTTTGAAATAAATATTTATCTAAATTAATCACTCGAATTAATTATTTTGTGTAGAATATTATATTCATACATATTTTAATTATCAATATGTTATTTATATAATAATAATAATAATTCATTATCCGTAATAAATTGTTATATCTATTTATTCAAATAATCCTTTATTCTTGATTCGAATAAATGATTTGAATAGAGATTGTAAAATTATTCGGATAATAATGTGAATAATTGTTGACCTTATTTTTCACACAATTTTGTATACAGTAAGTCACGGAAGTATTTGAACGCTCTCCAAAAAAGCTTGATGAGGAAAAATTAAGAATTCCGAGTCCCATTAAGAATTACAGAAAAATTTTATCGCTGTAGTAACCCAGAAGTATAATGGTTAAACATGTTAAATTAAAAGTGTCTTCGATAACGTAAACAATCTCATGAAAGATTTATTGCCAGCATCGACTAAACGGATGTCACAAAAGTATTCGAACGATTAAATTAGTAATATATTTGTTACATAAATATAGAGTTTGTTGAGGATTGTCGAGCGAGGGTTTTATGGCGGGGGGCCATGTGCTTGGGACCCGTGAAACCAGCTAGGGTATGGGTCTGTCACCCGCTCCATGTTGAAAGGAGTTTTCCGGTCGCCCCAAGGCACATGGTCCACACTCTTGGCCATCGGCAGTATTGCCCGCCATAAACACTGGACCCTAGGCCCATGGCGCGCCGCGGGTCGCGGAAGACGGTACGTCTTGGGACAAGGGGCAATTTAGGAAATGGTTTGCAGATGTCGGGAAATTCCCGGGCCCATGCGCGGCCTCGAACTCCCGCGCAAAGATGCGGTACTGCCCCTTCTTAGGTCCCAGGCGTTGTCTTTCGGGCTCGTCGCGATTGGGCGGCTTTCCTCAACACCCACTCCTAATTTACTAGGGTAGGGAGGACCGAGGTGTCGTTATGGGCGAACCTCGGTCTACAGATCAGATACCCTTGGACACTTTTAGATACCTCTCGTTTCCTTTAGATACCTTTCGAAACTCGCAACTCAACATTCTGGTATCTCCGCCGGAGAGTGTAAATAAATTGTTTTGCCTCACTCACGGTGTAAAGTTTGTTCCTCCTGA